GTTGTGAAAGCACAGAAAAAAGGGGGTAACAGGATGTGTGTGTGTGGGGTGGAGGGGATGTAAACTTGGAATTTTTTAAGGATCACCAAATTATGTGTAGAACATAAGATATGAACCTTTAGAATAATCTATATAAAAACTGAATCAAGATTTAAAATAAAGATGATTCACTCAGCTACGCAAATGTTTGAAGGGAAATCTTATTATTGAATTCTTATGTATTATGAGATTTTGCTGTCATACAATATAACTACAAAGGTGTCAAGAACGCTGTTGTAACAAACACTAAAAGCATAGGCCTACTATCTTCCAACAAAACCTTGATGTGCCTACACTCTAGTTCTCATTCTCTAAACACATAGTAACAGTTGCAAACGGTAGAAGTCTGGATTTAGGTTGAGTTTTTTTTTTAAAGAAAAGATAGCTTCTATACCCTCAAGCATCTTGTCTTAATATAGTGCAAATTTACAGAGTGAAACCTACAAAATATAATATTTGTGCACCACAGAAGTATAATTAATATTTCTGGGTAAAAATTAAATCATGGCAGTAACATTAGGATATACATACTTGCCATAATGCTCTTTCAGATATTTTGAGTCTTACCAAAACTTTGAAATAATTATGAATTCCAAGAAACACTTTCCTTTTAAATAAGAAGAACTTCTTGTATAAATACATACTATATTATATTCAAATGTTCCACACCTTGTCTGTACTGGGGCTCAGTTACAGGGTGACAGCCTTGTTCTACAACTCAATAACTTGTAAGAGATAGGCTACACATTTAATTCAGAAAATAGTGTGCATGACAATTTCTGCATATCTTACAAAGGAAGATGTATAATATGATTTTGTGATATGTAATTTTGTGATATGTAGGGAGTATTTCAAAGCTCTGGGAAAAGTAAAAGCATACAGTTACATAGCAAGGGGTAGAACTATACTGTTACATGACAGTGGCACTTCATAGTACTCTTAGTTACATAAACCAATAGACGGACAAGCTTAACTACACATGGGAATCTTGTGCTACACAGACGTGAGGGGTAGGCGGTGGGGGGGAGGGAAAGTGTGTGGATAACAATACGGTCCCATTTCTGCTGGAATGACAAATGGCATTGCGGAAAGTAAGTAGGTGGTGACCACAACAGAAGACTGTCCGAGAACCACGAGAA